TAATAACTTCTTCGTTACTGACATCCCTTGTGTGGTTCTGTGTAACCATATTCTGTTTACGAGTAGGCCGGGTTATCGCCTCACATTTTAGCTCCTAATAAACACCTTAATAACATCGGTATTTAAATTTAAAGAAAAAAATTAAGAATTTAAGCTTCGAAGTCATCCTTTCCTAATTATATTAGTCTATGAGTATTAATCCTCCATTCTTCCTGATTTGTTCAAATGTTCCGATATGTTGATTAAACGTTTTCGTTACTAACTCTTTTCCACCAAGGACTCATTTTACCAATACATTCCCCTAAAGTTTCGATCACAACAACAACAACGTATTTTTAGCACGACGAAAAATAATTTCGAATTACTTAAGAGTTAATACAATCTAGCCGAACTATCTATCGAGTGGACACCGCTGAAAAGAATAAGGAGATTGTCCAGGGACGATCGGTCGAGGTTTCCATGTATTGAGGTCTGGCTAACGATGTTCCAACAGGGACGTTGCTTTTGCCTGTCTGTCTACAGGAACAACGTTGTCACGACTGACATGTTTCCAGCGGTGGTTTGCGATGTTATTGTTGCTTAAAAAAGAAGCGTATTTTATCGTTCTCCTCTTGCTCATGCCAATTCAGCAAATTCGAGTGCTTCCCTAGGCTTACTAGCTGTGCGTCGTCCTGACTTTCCTTAGGGAAGAAGTCGAGACCTCGGCAGCAGTAGCAGCTGCAATGTCCTCTATCCGGCGCCTCAGAGAACATCAGAATGGAGTGAAACGGAAGTCAGGGCCGAGAAGTAAATGTTGTAAGAAATAAAGCGAAAAGCGTTGTCAAATCGCCGTTAGATTTTTGTTTTCTGGACTATGGTAGTACGATAAGGGTAATGAAATTTTAACGGAAGCAACAATAGGAGTGATAGTACAAGTAAGTATAAGCCTCCAGGAAAGGTTGGCCCGCCAGCGCGGCTGCTATTTTTGGCAGCGTACTTGCGTTTCCCCAGATTCTCTTGTCGTACCTTCTGTTTCTACGGGTCACAATGACTTGGAACTGCTGAGGGATCTGAACGAGGGAACGAATTGTCATCATTAGCATATGGCTGTTTCGGCCCCAGCCGAATCAATCACCGTCTTAGCGTGAAAAATGACTGCAGAAAAAATTGAAGAAGCAAGTTATGCTCTATTAGAGCTAGCCGTGCTCAAACATGGTAGACACTTTTGGCCCCTTACCGCTCAATCACTTCAGTTTCGGCAAAATTCTTGGCTGCAAATCTTTATTTCCCTCTGTTCTACTACGGTATGGAGGGCATCTCAGGCTATCTATAGTGTTACTGTCCAGCGAGATACATACCCTCACGGCAGTTGTTTACGTTGTTACTGTATCAAGAAAGCACACAGTATTTACATTTCTGTAAAAGTAAAGTGTTGTACTACATCGATTCTGCTGTTTGCTATGTAAACCTCTTACTTTATCAATATATGACTTACTCCCCAACACATAACATAGCTAAGGATGCGTGCATACGTGTGCATAGATGGCGCCAAGCAGAAAAAGGCATGCGTTAGCAATGTTCAGGAAATTCGCGCGTATTACTGTGACATTGACATGATGGAACTAAGAGAGCAAAGGCGTGCTTATACTTTTTTATGAACCTCCTCGTTGTAGATATGGACAGTTTACTATGCAAAATAGAGACTTAGATTATTTTAATATAATCGCGTACATATTTTAACGTTTTTTTTTTACGTTTAACGCAGACCTGTTAAAGTACCTGCTTAAACTGAAACATTATATTAGGATAGAATTGAAACCAATAAGAAGTACCTTTTACAAGCGACAAACTGTTCCGAAGCCTATGCATAACCTAGTATCAGTTCATATTGTATAATGTGATAAAAATGATTGGGATGTATTACAAATATATGCAATAATACTACAAGTACATGGGGGCTTAAGTATCGTTGCTACAGGCAAATACATTATTGCGAGTAGTTCCCTATTTCTGGATGAATATAGAAGTCATATTATTATATTAGTCCAAAAAACAGTATTTTATTGCAGCGAATACGCCTTGATTCACAGTACATAATACACGGCCTAATCCATAGATTCAATAAGAGTATGTTATCTGCCAATATTTAAAGTATAGGATTTGTACGTTTTTTTGCTTTGTATAACAGTAGAATCGCACGAGGTCAATCGAAATGTTAATCAAGAGGCGAGTTTGAGACCGTCCCACTTTATCCCCATTGCTATGTTCTACTAGCTGATGACCTCCTCATTCTGCCATTGTCAAGTGTTTTATAATCTCCTTTATTGTTTTCCCTCTAATGCCTATCGACTAGGTTTCTTCCGTCTCATTGAGGGCCAAGCAACGTTAAACTGTATTTTCTACGTCGTCTTTTTCCCCAATCTCGTATACAACGTATATA